TACTCGATTATGATTCATGTAATAATTGTATTTATTACATGGCTTAGTTGAATACTCGATTCTGATTCATGTAATAATTGTATTTATTACATGGCTTAGTTGAATACTCGATTCTGATTGGTCAATTCAGAACAAGTGACACGTTGTTAATACCGAACAGACAGACCGCTGTCAAGCACTTATTGACCGTTGTTAAGGACGCTCACATCTTCAGAAAGAAGTCCGGTCGATTTAACTGTATACAGTTGGGCCTTTCGAACTGGGACATGAAAAAACAGCGCAGAAGTAACGGGGCAGAAACCCTCCTTTTACGCAGCGGTCCAGACATAGACATCAACGGCGACACATATTCAGTTGCCAGTTACTTTGTCATTAGGGCAGGGATATCTAGATACTTTCTAAGGTTTGACATCATGAAGTGTGCTACTTTTAAAGCAAGGAGCGATGTTTTCAAATCTGTAATCAAAAACCTCCTCAAAAACGCAAGCAGTTCCTCCCGTTGGCTTTTCAAACTGACAAGAGACGCTCTAACTGTTTTTCAAATGTAACAGTTTGAAAAGCAAACTGTCTGATTGTCTTTAGTTTTCCGCTGTCGTGTGAGAGCAACATGAAGGATTTTAAGATTAATTTTAATATATTTAGAGAGCACAGTAATTTGGAGGAATGGTTAGTGGCTGATGAGTCCCCAGTGAAGAAAAGAAAAAGACAAGAGGGACAAGAAAACAGCGGAGAAGTAACGGGGCAGAAACCCTCCTTTTTACGCAGCGGTCCAGACATAGACATCAAACGGCGACACATATTCAGTGTGCAGTTCCTTTGGCATTAGGGCAGGGATATCTAGATACTTTCCAAGGTCTGACATCATGAAGTGTGCTACTTTTAAAGCAAGCAGCGATGTTTTCAAATCTGTAATCAAAAAGCTCCTCAAAAACGCTATCGAAGCAGTTCCTGCCGTTGCTACGTTAGTTCAAACGGTAACAACGGACTATTTTTCTTAGCGGATGCATGTCAATTTAAATCAATACAACTATTTTTTAAATCAATAAAATAATTTTCTAAATCCATAAAAGCATTTCAATTAATATTGGGATTCATAACGTTACTTTGTTGAGAATGTAATGTAATGTAATAAGCGGGATAATGTGCAGCGACTTGGTCATTATGGGGAAAAGAACACCTTCATGCCGATCTAGATCGTAATGAAGGTGATAGGTAATGACCGCGTTGCTTCGTTTTAAATGTCTTATTTAATAACTACTATTTGTATTATTTATTAAAACAAATTAATAACAAATGTGTTTTATTTAATTTGATTATTTCTTAAATTAATACATCTCATTGTAAGATGTAATGTGTTACTTTAATACAGTTTACTTGTCCTGCTATGAGCTGTTTTTGTTATCCTTATTTCATTATGAAGCCTAAATGATTCTGTGTTTCGCCACATGTTGTTGTTGTTGTTGTTCTCTGCACTCATTACAAACACAACAAGGTGCTAACAGCGGTGTCAGCTACACACAGGAGAAAGATCATTAGTGCTAATGATGTGAAAGTGCAAACACAAAGGAAACATCGTCCTCTGGGGTCTCTGCACCTTAACGAGACATCGGGGAGTTACTGTGTTGTTCAACGTGAAGCATACACTGAGAGAGTGAGAGAGAGAGAGAGAGAGAGAGAGAGAGAGAGAGAGAGAGAGAGAGGTAGGTAGGTAGGTGGGTAGGTAGGTAGGTAGGTAGGTAGGTAGGTAGGTAGGTAGGTAGGTAGGTAGGTAGGTAGGTAGGTAGGTAGGTAGGTAGGTAGGTAGGTAGGTAGGTAGGTAGGTAGGTAGGTAGGTAGGTAGGTAGATAAAACACACGACCATTATCTCAGAATAGATATTTCCTTTTTTAATAACAACCAAAACTGTAACAAAAATACAAAAGTATACAGGCAGCTCAAAGTAGAACTACGAGTTAAATATACAAAAGCAAGAAGATATTCCTAATAAAAGCCATATTTAATAAGTGCATACGCTTATAAAGAACATAATTGTTCAATAAGGTACAGTAGCTGGCTTTAATTCTTCAAACTAATGCACCATTTTCTTAAAGCAGAGTTTTTTTTTACTTATAAAATGATGGAAAAGCCTGAGTTCATAGTTCAAATGCATAGGAGGTTTACATGTTAGAATAAATCTGCTCATAAACCAACTTCCTGCTATTTTTCACCTCTTCGCCCCTGAGCTGAAAAGTCACTTTATATATTCTGTGTCCTCGTTTTTTAAATAGTTTTAAAGGTCACCTATTGTGCTGAATCCACTTCTTCATGTCTCTTCTACATCAACATGTGTCCCCTCTTCTTCATGTCTCTTCTACATCAACATGTGTCCCCTCTTCTTCATGTCTCTTCTACATCAACATGTGTCCCCTCTTCTTCATGTCTCTTCTACATCAACATGTGTCCCCTCTTCTTCATGTCTCTTCTACATCAACATGTTGTCCCCTCTTCTTCACGTCTCTTCTACATCAACATGTGTCCCCTCTTCTTCATGTCTCTTCTACATCAACATGTGTCCCCTCTCCTTCATGTCTCTTCTACATCAACATGTGTCCCCTCTTCTTCATGTCTCTTCTACATCAACATGTGTCCCCTCTTCTTCATGTCTCTTCTACATCAACATGTGTCCCCTCTTCTTCATGTCTCTTCTACATCAACATGTGTCCCCTCTTCTTCATGTCTCTTCTACATCAACATGTGTCCCCTCTTCTTCATGTCTCTTCTACATCAACATGTGTCCCCTCTGTCGAAAGAGACTCTGAAAGTTTCAGGAACAAAGATTCTCTCTCTTTTTGATCCATTTCTATAAAAACCTGTCTGAAAATGAGCTGATCAGATTTTGGCCACTTTATGATGTCATAACGATGTTTTGTCTTGTGTAACCATTAGCCAATCAGCAACCAAGGTAACCCCCCCCCCCCCCTTATCACCTGAATCTCCTCCTATAGCACCATTAGGCGCTTTCACACCGCAGTACTTTTCCCACAAAGGTTAATCTGTACTTAGTTCTCATGAACTAAGTACAGATCGCGTTCACACCGGAATAAGTCCCTGAGGGAGGATTAGGCAAATGAAGCCGCTGACGTCACTTCTTCTTCTTCTGCTTTGGGTTTACTGGCAGGCCGCAAACAACTTCACGGCGTATACTGCCGCCCGGAGTCCCCGGCCGGAAGTCCCCGAAGTTGGGGACTGGCTTCAGTAGAAGCTGCTGGCGGCTTCACAAAACTTTTTGGGAGTTTTACGGGGCGTGGTTTGCAATCCTATCAAAAATAGGAACCTTTTTCTCCCATGAAAGTACCTGCTCTCTAGCAGAGACTGAACAGGGGGTAAAAAGGTTGTCATTAACTAAATTCTAGTTCCGGATTTTTTTGGTGTGAACGCACATTTTCGGAAATATACTGGGTAAAGTACTCCGGTGTGAAAGCGCCTATTGAGTTCTTTGTAACCAAATCTCTCTCCGAGGGGCGTGGGGAGGGGCTCCTTATTTTCATCTAAAGTGACAGACAGAGAATCAGCACTTTGGAAACAGGGCTGAAACAGAGGGGATTATGGGTAATGCTGCAATGATCTGTTTGGTGTTTCAGCCAATCAGAGACAGGCTCTGTATATATCTGAGACCTGTGATATACTGATGAAGAACAGTATGATAGGAGACCTTTAAAAAAATGTCCTGTTAACTTTTTATTCGAGTGTCGTCGGGCGGATTAATATCTGTCACTGAACACGTAAATAGACTTCCTCATTAAAGCATGATTTTGGTTTATTTCATTCAAAGTTAGATTGTTCCTTGTTTAATTGTATTCTTTTAATAATTGTATAGTGCATAAAAAGTATTTAGAAAAATCCAGTTTATCCAGATTTTGATTTTAATAAAAATAATAATTTAACGGTTTGATTTGGAAATTGGAAATATATATAGAAAATAATTGACTTTATTTCATTTAATGGTTTGATTTCGCACAATATATTTGTAAATTCCTCTACATCTGGGAAATAAATTAAGAAATAAATAGATTTAATTGTTTAAGTCTGAAAACTGTCTTTTTAATTTCCTCAAAAATGAAAAAATGAGCAGAATTTAATTTTAAAAAGCTGCATTTTTTCGTACCAGAAATATAGTTTGCTCTGTCAAATCCCTGTGACCCTCTGCTGCCTCGTCATGCCACTGAATGAAGTGGAAGTAGAACTATATGTACTTTGGTTTTGATGTTTTCTACCCCTTAAAGTTCTGGAAGATCTCTGCGGCGTCGAGCCAGGTTCTAAAGCACGACAGCCCTTTGTCTCGGATCTGTTTCCGTCCTTTTTCCGTGATCACGTCTCCGTTCTCCTTCACGATCACCAGCTTAGGGACCGCCGTGATCTTGTAGCGCTGCTTCAACTCACTGCAGAGAAAAGAGACAGCAAAAACACCTGAAAACTGCAGCTTTACTTATTTTACTTTGTCAATAAAACATGTTATGATTGGTGTAAAGTATAAGTTGATACAACTTTGAGATACTTTGACTTTAATTTATGAATTTATTGCACTTTGTTATTGTCCAAAGATAGAGTAGATAGAGTAGATAGATGGATGGATGGAAGGAAGGAAGGGTAGGTAGGTAGGTAGGTAGGTAGGTAGGTAGGTAGGTAGGTAGGTAGGTAGGTAGGTAGGTAGGTAGGTAGGTAGGTAGGTAGGTAGGTAGGTAGGTAGGTAGGTAGGTAGGTAGGTAGGTAGGTAGGTAGGTAGGTAGGTAGGTAGGTAGGTAGGTAGGTAGGTAGGTAGGTAGGTAGGTAGGTAGGTAGGTAGGTAGGTAGGTAGGTAGGTAGGTAGGTAGGTAGGTAGGTAGGTAGGTAGGTAGGTAGGTAGGTAGGTAGGTAGGTAGGTAGGTAGGTAGGTAGGTAGGTTGATTGATATCTAAAAAAAAAACGTGGAGAGGAAATAAATATTTATAATCTCAGAACTAAAAATCATTGAACATCTCTCACTTCTTGTAGTCGTCCGTCCAGGGCAGAGCCAGCCAGTCTCCGTGCATGTCGTGGTAATACTCCACCATATCGTCTGCAGATTTATCAGAGGAGATGAAAACGATCTCAAATTGAGCAGCAGGCTCCCTCTCCTCCACCAGCTCCGTGTAGAAGTCACACAGGATGGGCGTGAAATCCCTACACGGCGGACACCACCCTGCAGAAAAGTAGATCCCCACCACTTTGTTCCTCAGAGCCTCCTCAGGATCCACTGTTTCCCCCTCTTTATTCAGGATGGTCCTCCCGGAAAACACCTCCACCATGTCTGCAGAAACACAGCTACAGCAGGAAAGCGCCACAGACAGCTTAGTGTTGCATATCTTACATGCGTTAAAAAGTACTAAGTTATAATATAATAAACAATATGCTAAAAAAAGATTAAAAGTTACATAATTTTCAAAAATACAGATCAAAAACAAATCAAATCAAATCCTGTGCAGTTCTTAGGATTTAGCAGCCCGGTATATATTACAGTTATTAAAGATGGCATATGTATATCAAGTATATATTGCACATAAAGCACATAGTTTGACGGGATTTAACTAAACAAGAAAGTAGAAGATATACGTGTTGAAATAATAATAACAATAAAATAGAAATCAGAAGGGTTTCTTGGGTGCTGCAAACATAAACAATATCTGGTTTGCTTACTGCACATATTTTACATTTTATTGCATTCTATTTCAATGTAAATTACTGCTTTATTTTATTCTTATTTTTTTGTAATGTTATTATAGTGTTCTTAAAATAGTTCGCTATCTGTGTTTTTTTAATCTTTGTTTTACTTGTATGTATGCACCACGACATCAAGTCAAATTCCTCGTACGTGTTACGGTACGTCCACACGGCAGCGTCGCGTTGAAGCTTGCCGGTGGGCGTGTCTGGCGCGCGACCAACAACCAATCACATTAATCTCCCGCCCCGGGCACACAAGCACGCGGTTTGATTGGCTAGAGCTTGTACTGGCATATGATTTGATTGGCTGACGCTTCCGTCGACGCTTGAAAAGTTGAACTTTGCTCAACTTTCGAAGCGAGCAACGGAGGCAAAGCGACTCGAGGGAACCACAATGCAGTTCGGCAAAGCGTGACGTCACACCATTCAAAGTGAATGGGAAGCGTCTCCGTTGAAGCCAAGCCCCCAGGAAGTGCGCCGGACTCTGAGGAAAATATTCGTTGTGGCCAAATGGCGGTACTACACTTCCGTATCAGTCGCTGGGCCCGGAAAGACTTTTTCCCATTGACTAACATTGGGAAAGAGACGTCTGTAACTCGTTGGATAATTGTTTTTAACCAAATAAACTACCCAGTATGAACATGTGTATAACCCTTATTAAAAACATTCGGTCCTCAAGTTGTAAAATGTGCTAATAACGTTATTCTGAGAGTTATTTTCCTCGGCATTATGAACGGCATTCGAGAGTGGGAGCTTGGGGGCGGGGCTTAAGGGGCAACTCAACTGCGCATGCTCTATGAGCGCACATACGGGTTCTTCTGCTCTGACAGCCAGGCATGATGGGTAATCTGTGACGTTTCGCTCTCTCAAAAGTTGAGCCGTTTTGTCCTCATGCGCCAAGGAGCAGCTCTCATAGGAAAGAACGAGACCCCTCCTCCATGGTTGCCGTGTGGACGTACCGTTAACCCCCCTGGGGCCTGTACTACGAAGCTGGTTCAACCTAACCTGGAGTTAGCCGGTTGGCCTAATCCAAAACATACGCGCTCTCGCTAAACGGTACTACGACGCGGGTTATCAAGTGGATCGCTCAAGCCAGCCGTGTCCTATCTAGTTAGGTGCGCGTTCACATGAGAGGGGTGGTATCTGGAGCATTCGACCAATCACAGACATGGAGAAGCGCACTGACAGCGCAGCGTCATACTTCCTGAATGAAAAGTCAACTATAATATTAGACATATGAAGAAGTTAAACTTTAAACATCCATGACTTAAACACTTGATCCAGGATCAAAGCCACAGAGCTGCACCTGCAAGGTGAATACAGCTGGGAACAGAACAAGAGTTTGAATGCGTACATTAACAGGTTTATGATATCACTGCCCGTCTAAGACACCATCTGACTTTCATTACATTTGTCTCGAGTGTTTCGTCAACTTAATGTGTTGCTTAAAATAATAATTCTGCATCCAGTCTGTGACACTGTGAGTGTTGCACGGCCAGATACGGCTCAGCTGACTCAGATCAGGAGATATGTGATACATTATGAAGTGATATGACGCGGACTGTACTTAATATTACTCTGATCTGGTTACTTATGTTGTGGCAGATATTTCAGTAAGCTTTCTTAACGCTAATGTTATAATAGTCAGATTGCTCTGAAGATGGAGGTGATATTCTATTCATGTTCACGTTCACACAGTCGGTGACTTTTCTGTATTTCCTTTCTCCTGTAATATGACTTGATCGCTTTAAACTCCGCACACTGAGCTCTGATTGGTCAGCAGGCGGTGCTTTCACTGAGTTGAGCTCTTAGCCTGAAACCTAACCTGGTCCCGACCAGGTTAGCCGCTAAGCATAAGTTACCATGGAGATCTAGCCTGCTAAAAAGAGAACCAGCTTCGTAGGACCGGAAAGCCGGAGTTTCCCCTGAATTTAGCCGCTAAGCGAAAATCCTGCTTCGTAGTATGCCCCCCTGGTGGTAAACTTGTTTCTGATTCTAAACAACAATACTACAATATCTGTTTTTATTGAGTATATTGTGTTGGTTTGTGCTATTTTGTTTTTTGTTTTGTGTACCTTTGAAAGCCGCTTTTATAAATAAAGTGTATTATTATTATTACAATAGGAAATAAGTTGAAATATAATATGTTTCATTAAAAAAGAATAAAAGAAAGTATTTACACCACATTTAAATATACAAAATAAACTGAGTATAATGAAAATTATATTTGAAAAAAATTGACAAATGTTTATAAAAAAACAATATTGTTTTCCTGAGATTTTTTTAAATGCATCTCTGAAAAACAAATGCCTATTATTTTGAGATAAATAACTTAAAATGTAAATAATTTGAAGGATAAAATATAATTAACTGACCCATTATCAAGGACTCAACATAGAAATTAAAAAGTTTAAATCATATTTATCCTGTTATATGTTTTTCGTGTTGAGATAATGACATAAATCAAATGTGATCGTAAGAAAAAACACAATTAACTTTTAACTCATTAAAAACACCCAAAAACGGAGAAAAAAGGAGGAAATAAAATGCCATTATGACAAAATAAGAGGTTAACAGCAGTCACGACACATTTCAGTGTGTTTAGCTCGTATTTCAGCGGAGGTGTGTGTGTGTGCGTCTCTTACCTTCCTGCGGTGTTTACCTGTCTGCAGGTAAGCTCCTTACAGCTGATCCGGGGTCTACTTTATCATCCATGTGTCCACGGGTCAGCTGTTCTAATGATAGTACTGCGCGACTGCAACTTCCGGCAGCAAGCTTGGCGCATGCGCAGAGCAAACGAGCGTTTTCTTAAAGAGGACACTGCAGGTAAATGAGGTTAAGAACGATAGATATTATACTTTGACAGGTAATTACTATAGACTGTATATATACAGGTAATTACTATAGACTGTATATATACAGGTAATTACTATAGACTGTATATATACAGGTAATTACTATAGACTGTATATATACAGGTAATTACTTAGACCAAGAACATATGTTTGGGAAATAAAATGTAGTATGTTTTTATATAAAAACGGGTTAATATCTCGTTAAATCTGTGTTTAATGGGCATTTATATATTTACTTTTTAATGCTATTTTATTTCTATTTCAGAAATACTTTGGACTGTTTATTTCTTGTGTCTTAATTTCTCTAATGTACATTGTCTTGTTGTTTTTTATGGTGCTGCAACGCAAACATTTCCCAAATTGGGATCAATAAAGTATTTCTTATCCATCGATCTATCTATCTATCTAACAATAGATATATACCTGAACATCAGCAGGAGAGGACTCTTTAAAGTAGAGACACTACATACTGATATACACCTGAACCTCAGCAGGAGAGGACTCTTTAAAGTAGACACACTACACACTGATATACACCTGAACATCAGCAGGAGAGGACTCTTTAAAGTAGAGACACTACATACTGATATACACCTGAACCTCAGCAGGAGAGGACTCTTTAAAGTAGAGACACTACATACTGATATACACCTGAACATCAGCAGGAGAGCACTCTTTAAAGTAGAGACGCTACATACTGATATACACCTGAACATCAGCAGGAGAGGACTCTTTAAAGTAGAGACACTACATACTGATATACACCTGAACATCAGCAGGAGAGGACTCTTTAAAGTAGAGACGCTACATACTGATATACACCTGGACATCAGCAGGAGAGGACTCTTTAAAGTAGAGACACTACATACTGATATACACCTGAACATCAGCAGGAGAGGACTCTTTAAAGTAGAGACACTACATACTGATATACACCTGAACATCAGCAGGAGAGGACTCTTTAAAGTAGAGACACTACATACTGATATACACCTGAACATCAGCAGGAGAGGACTCTTTAAAGTAGAGACACTACATACTGATATACACCTGAACATCAGCAGGAGAGGAATCTTTAAAGTAGAGACACTACATACTGATACACACCTTTACAGCAGCAGGAGAGGACTCTTTAAAGTAGAGACACTACATACTGATATACACCTGAACATCAGCAGGAGAGGAATCTTTAAAGTAGAGACACTACATACTGATACACACCTTTACAGCAGCAGGAGAGGACTCTTTAAAGTAGAGACACTACATACTGATATACACCTGAACATCAGCAGGAGAGGACTCTTTAAAGTAGAGACACTACATACTGATATACACCTGAACATCAGCAGGAGAAGACTCTTTAAAGTAGAGACACTACATACTGATATACACCTGAACATCAGCAGGAGAGGACTCTTTAAAGTAGAGACGCTACATACTGATATACACCTGAACATCAGCAGGAGAGGACTCTTTAAAGTAGAGACGCTACATACTGATATACACCTGCACATCAGCAGGAGAGGACTCTTTAAAGTAGAGACACTACATACTGATATACACCCTGAACATCAGCAGGAGATGACTCTTTAAAGTAGATACACTACATACTGATATACACCCTGAACATCAGCAGGAGAGGACTCTTTAAAGTAGAGACACTACATACTGATATACACCTGAACATCAGCAGGAGAGGACTCTTAAAGTAGAGACACTACATACTGATATACACCTGAACATCAACAGGAGAGGACTCTTTAAAGTAGAGACACTACATACTGATATACACCTGAACATCAGCAGGAGAGGACTCTTTAAAGTAGAGACACTACATACTGATATACACCTGAACATCAGCAGGAGAGGACTCTTTAAAGTAGAGACACTACATACTGATATACACCTGAACATCAGCAGGAGATGACTCTTTAAAGTAGAGACACTACATACTGATATACACCTGAACATCAGCAGGAGAGGACTCTTTAAAGTAGAGACACTACATACTGATATACACCTGAACATCAGCAGGAGAGGACTCTTTAAAGTAGAGACTCTACATACTGATATACACCTGAACATCAGCAGGACTCTTTAAAGGAGAGACAGAAATGCTGTAACGTCAGAATCCTGTATCATTTCACAGAAGTAAAGAAGGTATTTAGAGGTCAGTGTGCTTCCTTGTCTCCTTGTTTCCTCGTTGGAGGTTGTTTGGAAAGAGACACTTCCTCTCTTCCTGCTTCCTTTTCTTTCTGTGCACTCAGCTCCGGTGTCGAAAGACTGAACGGGACGTACTTTCCTTTTCTTTCATTTTTTACAAAGAACAACTCTCTCACTCTGCCCTAAAACATCTCCAGCAACATGACCTCGAATTCCAATGTTTCCAACATGAGACGCCTCGTAGAGCAACTGAAGCTGGAGGCGAGCGTGGAGAGAATCAAGGTAAAGACGGAGAAAAGAGTTTACTTTGAGTTTTCTTAACTTTAAGTAATGCACACTGTATCGACTCAACACTTTTATTTTATACACTATATTGATCTTTTTCCCATTTTCTTATCTTCTTATTCATACAGCATGTTGTAGCCCTATTTCTCCACACATTAGATCCATTCTGTGACATATTATTTATCAGTTAATCATTTAAAAATACATTTACCTAATACAACAAGTGTCAAATGTGTTTTTTGCACTAAATAATTCTTAGTAATCTGTCGTTTTGTCCGGAAATTAATTGGTTTTTTTTGGTAAAAATGTCTTGTGCTTTTAGCTTAAGACATTTATTGCATAGAAAACATCCAAATTGCTTATAAAATATGACACTTCTTATATATTTATTAAACCACCCGATATTACAAGCACAGCCGAACCAATTACAGACAATTAAATTGAAACTTTTTTAATAGTTAAGGGCATTTTTTATTTCTTGTTTTTTATACTTCGGACTTTCTTTATTGGAAGTTCCCAACAAGTGATTCAGACTTGGTGTCGATGGATTCGATGGAACTTCTTGTTTCATAAGATATCAGGTTTCAAAAGTACTTGATAACATTTTAACGCATTATTAATTATAATCAAAACATATCATATATATTATTCTGAAATGGACCAATCTGCTCAATGACTACTTTCACTGTCGCTACTTTCACTATATTTTGATGAGAATACTTTTCTACTTTTACTTGAGTAACATTTTGAATGCAGGACTTTTACTGTAACAGAGTATTTCTACACTCTGGTACTTCTACTTTTACTCAAGTACAAGATCTGAGTACTTCTACTTTTACTCAAGTCCAAGATCTGAGTACTTCTACTTTTACTCAAGTACAAGATCTGAATACTTCTACTTTTACTCAAGTCCAAGATCTGAGTACTTCTACTTTTACTCAAGTACAAGATCTGAATACTTCTACTTTTACTCAAGTACAAGACCTGAGTACTTCTACTTTTACTCAAGTACAAGACCTGAGTACTTCTACTTTTACTCAAGTACAAGATCTGTGTACTTCTACTTTTACTCAAGTACAAGACCTGAGTACTTCTACTTTTACTCAAGTACAAGACCTGAGTACTTCTACTTTTACTCAAGTACAAGATCTGAGTACTTCTGCTTTTACTCAAGAACAAGATCTGAGTACTTCTACTTTTACTCAAGTACAAGATCTGAGTACTTCTACTTTTACTCAAGTACAAGATCTGAGTACTTCTACTTTTACTCAAGTACAAGACCTGAGTACTTCTACTTTTACTAAGTAGATCTGAGTACTTCTACTTTTACTAAGTAGATCTGAGTACTTCTACTTTTACTAAGTAGATCTGAGTACTTCTACTTTTACTAAGTAGATCTGAGTACTTCTACTTTTACTAAGTAGATCTGAGTACTTCTACTTTTACTAAGTACAGTTGCAAGAAAAAGTGAACCCTTTGGAATGACCTGGATTTCTGCATAAGTTGGTCATAAAATGTGTTCTGATCTTCATCTGAGTCACAACAATATACAAACACAGTCTGCTTAAACTAATACCACACAAACAATGATATGTGTTCATGTTTTTATTGAACACACCATGTAAACATTCACAGTGCAGGGTGGAACAAGTATGTGAACCCCGAGGCTAAAGACTTCTTCAAGAGCTAATTGGAGTCAGGAGTCAGCCAACCTGGAGTCCAATCAATGAGACCAGATTGGAGGTGTTGGTTAAAGCTGCCCTATAAAAAATACACACCAGTTTTGAATTTGCTATTACCACCAATAAGATGTTTTAAATGTCAGAGAGTTGGACATGTGGCGGCAGTGTGCAGGGGAAAACAAAGGTGTGGCAGATGTGGTGGAGATCATGAATACGGAAGATGTGAAGAAGGGGCAAAGCTGAAATGTTGCAATTGCGGAGGGGAGCATAGCTCAGCGTACCGTGGATGTGAGGTTAGCAAGAAAGCAGAAGAGGTGCAGCGAGTCAGGGTGATGCAGGGAGTTAGCTATGCAGAGGCAGCGAAGACAGTTTCTGGAGGAACGCAGGTTACAATGGGAAACAACAATAAGAGCAAAGAAACAGGAAAAGTCCACAACTGTGTTAAGTTGAAGGAGGACACTCTGATAGTAAAAGAGAGTACTGTTTGTGGCAGAGATGATCAACTGTTCAGCGAGACTACAAGCCGGAATGAAAGAATCAAAATAATTGTCAAATCATCTGAAAAGTGCCTTGATGTGAAAGGGATGCACTGGGGACACGTGAAAGATATCCTAAATGATGACGTCCATCAACCTCAGACATGGACTGGATCATCCTGATGGTGGTGATTGCACTGCAGTGGAATGCTAGAAGTTTAATTGCAAATGGACAAGAGTTCAAAAAATATATTGACAACCTGGGAGAGAAACCTAATGTTCTTTGTATTCAGGAAACATGGCT